CCCCCCCCCCCCCACTCAAATATAAGATGAAAGGCTCCCCCCCCCGGTAAATGTTGGGGGTGAAACTTGTATTCAAGCAAATACAGTATATGTCCTCCTTCCCAGAAAAGGCTCAGGGCAACTTACAATAAAGATAAAAAATAGAAACCAGTTCAAATGAGGAAATACAACCAAACACCCCCCGCAAAACCCTGACATTCAAAAGCAGTTCATCCCAACCACTCCTGCTGCCCTGACAAAGAAGAGCATCCCCTCTCACCTGCCGAAGCCAACCTTGCTTTTCAACCAACATTCAGTGTCTCCATAAAAGAAAGCAACAATTCCTTCTCCCCTGCCCATATTCCTTCCTATCCCTACCCATTCCTGTTCTCCTGCCTCATGTGCAGGGGTGTCCCCACACCCCCTCACTGTCCATTGCAGGTCATACTCCTCCTCTCAAAGGGAGATTGCCTGTCTCCAAAATCCCTGAGGGAAGGGGATAATGTTCAGTTCAAAACAAAAAACACCCTTTTCCTTATGTCTATCCCTGCTGAAGGGCTATGACAAAGGGCTAGGGCAAGAATCCACTGAAAGGTACTGAAAAACCAGGGAGTTGTGAGATTGTGTATGATGTTGGATGCGTAGAGTGGGGTCTTATTCTGCTTCTGACCATATATTGTTGCCTTGCCTCCACTACAGATTATAGTTGAAGACCTCTCCCAGGACTGTTTCTGGACCAAAGCCAAGGAAGAGCGATTTGAGAATGAAAACCTCTTTGCTAGGCTGACAGTGATGTTTTCTGCTCAAACTAAGCGTGAGTGCTATACTCAGTGCCCCTCTCCCCCTGTTTCCTTAGCCAATTCAGATGAGTAAGAAGGAAGTGGGAATACTTTGGGAGGATACCAAACTGCCTTTAGAAGGAGTGCTATTGGTGCTAGTTACCGGGAAGCTATTTACCTTGTAGTGGTAAGGAAGGTGGGCCCAGAAGGGCGAGGGTATGTAATATACAGCGGATTCTGCACTTTCATAGATCTGCTTCTTCATGGTGACATTGAGCTCTTTTCCTATGGATCCTAAGCATTGTGCTGGGCCTGAGACTATGGGGATAGTGGGGGCAAGATTTGGTCATTTAATGTTACAATATTGTTTGTTCATTTTGAATTTCCTTTCCCTTTT